AATTTCGGCCTCATCAAATTTGAATGTGTGGCCGAGTCTCGTCGAATGAGCCACAACCTGAAAATTGACATCATTTCGCCACACTGCTGCTGCGTGTTCGGCAATTCGCGTCTTGAGAAGTCTGCCAGTTTCTTCGACATATTTGCTTTGTCCGCAATCGCGCCAGATCCTGTGGGCAACCCCAAATGTTTCTTGCCGTACCTGCTGCTGCTCTGTGATTATGTCTCCGATGATGAATCAACGATGGATGTCGGAACGTCAGGCGAATAAAAGTATTGTCCCAGCGATCGAGTCGTCTTCTTCTCAATTACTTCCTGGGACTCGCATGTTCGCTTGTATCGAAAATCAGACAGTTGTTTGAAGTGCACGCTTCTATAGTTTAAACTTTATCGTCTACTATAAAGGCTTAAGATCGTAAACGTTGATGATTTGAAAAGGTGAAAAATGAACTGACTTTCCTTTCTTACTTGGCAGTGATTGGCAGATTTACAGGCAAAAACCAGGGCGCGGGAAAATGGAAGACAACAGACCTCCTTAATAAATACGGTGGTCGTGAATAAGTTGTATATTGTAGAATGTGCATACGCATCATCAGTAGTTTGACAATCGGCTGAAGGCAGCATAGAAAACATCATTTTTAACCTAAACCTATTTCGTTTCGGGGTTCTAATGATCGCTGGGTCTATTTACACACCGACAGATCTCATTTCACGTGTTTTCTCGGCTGCCGTGCCCATAATCTCTGCGCACCATCAGATCTTTAGAGCACTCAATGCCAAGTGATATGCAGCAATGCGCACACACACCCGCTCAAAAATTGTACCTCGACACCTAGCCCAGGCCTCCTCTGACACTGCTAGCCGCTGTGCTGAACACCTAGTGGCTAGAAGACATGCACTAACAGGCACGCAAGCGTCTGCTGATTGGTTCTCAATCGAAATACGCGCAAGGTGTATATGACTGCTTCAATCGCATGCAAGGACATGTCTCATCGATGACTACTCTGCTAGCTCAGTGCAAAGGCTGCTCACTTCAGTTGGTACTTGTCAGAGCGGTAACATAGCTATTCCTTGTGATGACTGAAACCGCAGGTCTGGAACTCAACGTTGCCGTTGTGGGCGAAAGCGGTAGGTTGAAAAGTCAACAGATATTGAACTTCCATCATTTCTTTGAATTTTTATTTTGGCTTTCATTCTCCTCATTTCAAGCCAGTGTAAATTTAGCATTTATACAGACAAATGTTCTGTTAAACTTATTGGGTGTACCACACTCCATGCATAAGCAAACGGCTTACTTAAATTTATACCTAAATTCTGATTCGGGTGACCTCTCGGGGTCAACTGTTTATGTACAAAGGAAGGAACTAGTATTAGCTAATCAAAGCCTCATTAGTAAGCGTGTTGATTGGGTTACTCTTTTGGTCTTTCCCCGAATTTATTGGGCATATACAGCCGCGCTGTAAAATTTCCAAAATCATTCTGCAAATAAAATTATAACGATTTTAGGTGTCCATACCGTTAATCGTGATAAATAGCGCAGGTTGTTCTGGTTTCTATATGTCCTCTGTTCTGCTGAGCTCCCTTTATAAGCTTTGTGTGTTAATGACCCTAAACTGTAGATTTCTAAAAAGAGCTATATAGTAGATATCTGATTTAATTTATTGCCTAAACTTATGTCTCTATTTGAAATTTTTTATGCTACTCCCTGTTGCGATGCTGTATTTTCCCGCAAATGCATTATCGGCCAGACAGAATGTATAATGCAAGGATGCGTTTGGCTAAGGCTATTCAATAATATGAGTTTAAGCAGTGAAACAAGCATTCGCATTTTCGAAGACGAAAATGATTATTGAATATCATAAGGATTTAGGAAATGTAAATAAATCCAGATGAAAACGGGGTTAGGTTCATGTTTGGTGGTAATGGCAGAGTTGCTATTAGGATGGAAAATAGGTTTACTGTCAAGGTTTAGGTTCGTGTTAACCGTAGAGTCTAGTTGTTGTTTAGGACAGGGGTTAAGGTAAAGGTTTCGGTTTTGTTTAATGATATTTTTTTTTCGGACCATTCTGCATTTTCGAAAGTATCAGATAGATAAGCGGATAAACTCATAAATCCACATCTATATTTTTAACAGCGATCGATACCACAGTTTCTTTCAGTTCTTCAATTTTTTTCAAGAAACGCAGGTCAATCTTTTCATTATATTTCACAGCTCATACTAATTTTGATCTAGTTTCCTTAATTGCAAAACAACTTTTTTTAAAAAATACGATGCTCTTTTTTCACCCCAGCTTCTCATGACGCCGGGTCACTTTATATCGACGTAATAAGTCCCTCGCATCCATGCCACCACTCATCATTCCACTCTTCCTGTTCTTTCACCAAAACTGGTTCCTTGACTTTACTAGTAGTACCGCCAAACTATACGGGTCTGAGGATGAATGACTGAGGGCGATCTTTTTTATTTAGGTCGTTAAGGGGTGTTCTGTTTGCTTCATTAGTTCAAGTCCTTCTGATTTCTTTGCGTCCGTATAGTGTCTTTTTGACGTTTTATGACTAATTTAATATTTCATCGGTAGAGAGCACTTATATGGTTACCGTTAAAACTACGTGTGGCCTTATGCCAAATTCAGTAAAAAGTAAATTGAGGATTAAGGTGAGAGTTACGCTAAGGGTTATTAGTAAGGCCAGTGTCGGGATCAGGATCAGGGTCATGTTAACGGTCAAGGTTTGGATTCGTGTTAATTGTGATTTTTAGATTTGGTGTAGACCTTAGCTTAAGATTAGGGTTTCAGCTTAGCTTTATATTAGGTTTAAAACACGGAGTTTTTAAATGTATCGCAAGGCCACCTCTTTGTGTGGGTGGGACGGTCCTATTTCCGTAGCTTGTTTGGACGTATATACAAGTCACCCTTATAATCGAATTTTCTGATGCCTTTAGGATAACACTATGAGTTCAATCTTTTAAAATCTGAAAGAAAAACTGAAAATGTAATCTTTACGTAACTCTACATACCTCCCACGAACCCCATGGTTTAAACTTTATTTGTGTTTTCTTTTCTTGTCATTTTCGATGTTACGTGGATTGAATGCGTTGTCGGCGATTTCTGCTTTTCGCGTTGTTTAATGATTTTTTCCTTCCGAGTACTTATACCCGTAGAAGTGTTCTTATCGGTGTGGTTTTTTGGGATGGGTGCCCATGAATACTTGTCAACTAGCTCACAACTGGTTCGGTCTTGATGATAATTTTCTGAATAAAATCCAATTATTGTGTCCAAAGACCTAAGTTTTAGGCTTAAATGCCACTGCGTTGGCGATGAGTGTTTGACAAAGCCTCACGCGGTCTGCACTCCACTAGAATCCAGTCTCATCATCCCAGTTACCTCAATACTGCAATATCAGTAAACGCCTTAGATCCTAGTTTTGGTTCCGTTTGTTCGCAAGGGACAATGAAATTGATCAATTTTAATTTATGCACACAAACTGCATTAGCCTTCTCACGAAAGCTTCGATCCGAGCCAGTGAATTCCATTTTTTAATCTTACGGATTGCGTGCAGTAACCGAGGGTGTGGAGCACTATTAAAAAGTTTTTTCTTGAAGTCAAGGAAAATGACGTTTTTTCATAGGTCTTCTACTTTGCCTGGGATTTCTTCCCTAAGTACAGAAAAGATTTCACAATCAAGAATGGTGGTTTTTAAAATTTGTTGGACACTCTCGAGAGCTTCTTTCAAAAGGCTGCATGGTGGTTCATTTGACCACTTTTTTCTAATGTTTGAAATAAACACGGGTTAGGCTCACCGACTTAAAAGCCCTACAATTTATATAGGATAAAATCTTGTACATTGAGCATACACATGCCACTTTTCAATCGGGGGAGTAAATTACCCTGCTAAAAATGCGGTTGAGGAATACGCCATAGCATCCGGATAAGCTCAGATGAAGTAAATTCTAGCCCATTGACCGTATTTTGTTTGAAAATAAAGACTACGATTAACCAGTCGTAAGGAATTCCGTTCTAACCATTTTCTCGCGGAAGTCGCTGCCTCCAGTTAACGTGCCAGTAGGTTGAATAGGAAGTTCAAACTGATTAAAATCGTTTCAAAAATGAAACCGGACGTAGAGGGTAGCTGAGGTCTCCATCCTCATACTCATCTCAATTTGTATGTGCATTATTACCTTCTTATTGTGTAGTTTATCCTTGATAAGACTAAGGAAGAAGGTTGGCCTTTTGTGGCCTGTTATGGGATTTGCGCTTCGTAGCGTATGCTCTCTTTTCTGCGAACCTTGAAGAAGGCCTTGTTCGAGAAAGGCTTCGGCGTTTTGGAGCTTGACTGTTGCTGTATATCTTCCTCAAAGTTTAGTCTTTTTTGTTCATCCTTGGCCGTCAGGCGTATATGTAGTTCAAATTTGTCTTGTTATCATATGGCCAAACGTGTTTCAGTGAGAACGTTTTTTCAGCCTATCGTCAATATTGTATTCCCCATGCCAGTTAATTTGATTACAAGGACATTGGGAACATCGCCCTCTCCTCAGTCATTTGGTTTAGATTTATAAAACCAACTAAAAGATAAAATGATCTCATTTTCTTATGATGCAACGAACCTCGCGTAAACGACGTTATTAAGAGCTTTCGTAGAGGCGAGATACAGACAGGTTAAACGTTCCTCTCTCACATGTTTGGTAGGAGGAACGTCAGCTGAAAAAAGTGAGCTCAGTCTAGCATATTTTGGGATTTTGATCAGGCGAAATATGGGAATGAGAACACCCACTATTCAGGCCTTAATGCTAATTTCCAGAAAGATTACTGGGAGTCTTACGGTCAGAAAAAGGGGCAACTTTAGAATTGGGGTTACCATTAGCGTTTGGGTTGGGTTGAGATAAGAGTCAAAATAAATGTTGGGCTTAAAAGAAGAGTCAGCTTTAAGACACGGGAATATGTACGTTAGACCACCCTATTACCTGGAGAGGGGACATTCTAGTTTCCGTGTCTTACCTTGGAACGTTTCCATTCCATTGTTACGCAGATTCGAAACCACGTTTACCTGTCCATTTCCGGTGGCTTCTTCCTCGGTTTTTATATGCATAATAAGACTCTGATTTTGAATTCGGATTTACTTCCTCGATATTGCACGGAGACGCAATTTCACTGCATCTACTTCAGTCGGTTGGGTTTTCTCTGTGTGCCTGGAGGTACACAGAGGTAAAAGCAGCAACAAAATGCGCCAAAATTATATGGAGTGTTCACCAAGCAACTATCAGTGACGCACTTCTGGAGTTGACTTCGCAGGACTTTGTACTCTGGCGCCAAATCGATGTATCGATCGATTCATTTCCCGTCTTGGACTAGGCTTAAATCAGTTTTCGACTCGTGTTCTTTCCGGCCTGGTAAACTATCTTGACGGCTGCGAAATTGAACTCATGGTCCTTTTTACAGGTGTGAGCAGTAACTTTCGATAGTTGAAAGTTGGTTGGTTAACACTCCATATACTTTTCGCCTATATTTTACTGCTGTTTTTCTTGACGACGAATTCCTGCGCGAGTTTGAAAGCTGAGAACAACAAACAAACTGTTTCGGTGCTCTTCCAGCTTGCTCCTTCACTCATGCACACACCTAGAACGCGAACACTCGCATTTATGGTAGACTTACACACAGCCTACCGCTCTCGCTTCTCCCGCACCCCCGGTGGCCCATGTCAAAACAGGGTTTTAGAAGACCAGAGGGGAGGTGGGATCGGGCGCAAGTGGCTGACGTGAGTCCGCACCTATGCATATCACCATGCCCCAACCCCCATTTTCGGCATTTGTATCAAGGAATGTGAAGGTTAATAAGGTCAACCCTAATGGCTGCGATCTTCCCGGCCCGTTTCCTTAATAGATGCGAGAAGTCATGGGAAAGCCAGATTAGTAGAATGAGCGTATTCTGTACAGTCGGAAAGGAGAATAGTTAGGAGGAAGTTTTGACTGTCGGAGCGCACGTCCAGCCGCGAGGTGGACAAGGTCCGAAGTGATGCCTGGGAGCAATCATCGCATTGTCATCTGTGTCCACACGAATTGAGGCCAACCTACTAAATGAGGCCAGTCTACTAGTGCGGGAATCTCATTGGAGGGATTGAGATCAAGCTATTGTGGGTTGAGTCAGGAACGGGGCACACACAGTGTGTGCGTTCGGTCGCACGCCAGTTTGCGTCTGGTCCGAGGCACGCCGAAAACTGCCTTAGCGCGAGGTCCTGCGCTCTGAGTTATCTCGTCTGCAGCGTCTAGAGCTAGAAGGGCTTCGGGCAGCAGCGACCACTACATTTGTTGTGGGAGCTTAAACTGAATAACGCATTCCGTGCCCTGGGCTAACCCTAATGATGGTACAGCGCATCTACCACGCGACGCGTTTAGGGAGGGGGCAAGTCTGATAACAAGACATAGTCAAAACAACCCGAGGCGCGGTAGGACGCAGTTTCTGACAAAGATAAACGAACTATCTACGCGTACCACACATGAAATTGTGCCCAGCTTTCACAGAGGCTGACTAGGATCCAAACTGAGTGGGGGGGCATAAACGTCGCAGTCAGACGGGTGTATTGTAGCTTGAATGGCCGCCCTGAGGGGGACCACGCTATCCCGTTAGTTGGCAGCCTTCGAAGCCACGATTTTTATTTTATCGTGATAGCTTAAAAGCACATCAGATTGTCTGTAGTTGATAAATGCTGAATTATAATTTACCAATAGACATTGTTATAGCAGTGATCATATTTTTCGAAGTCCATTCGTCTGTTATCGGAATACAATATACTCTGTATTCCAATGAAACTAGGTAGTTTTGGCAGAACAATAAAACGCAGAGTCCTGCTAGTTCGCAGCCTGCATGTGCGATCAAAAAAGGATAATCCAGTAAGAAGGATTCTTACAAGGGATTGGCTTTCAGAGACTTTGATGTTAAACGCAAAGATGTCGACGGCAAATTCACAGTTTTATAAACATTTAGTCTTACCTGCATTTGAGTTGAAAATATCACAGTTAGAATGTCATAATAACGAGAATATATTCGTATCCGAATATTAAAATTTGATACTCCGCATTACTTGATACGCTTTCCCAGCATAGTTTTCAGTTTAGTAGACTGAATTATTTAACCAGTTGACCTCTTAAAGGAAGATGTTATTTTAAGGAACTCATAACCATTACACTTTTATCAGAGTTTCTGTTCACCGTGTTTTTATTAATCCTCTTTTTATGTCCATTATCTTAATACTGACGGCGTTTTTGATTATTTCGCTCTCTTACCATGAATAAATTTACAAGTCATTTAATTATTTAATCATTAATTTATTATTTAACTTTATTAATTAAATTAATTTTACACTTTGTTCTTTATTTTTATGCCACAGGGGTAGGGAAGACTACTCTTATCAGTCGATTCGTTACCGGGAGCTATGGGGCTCAGGAAAAATCTACCTTCCTGAACGATAGTTCAGTCAATAAAGACGTGTATGGAAAGAAGGTCGATTTTAAAATTTACGATTCGGTAAGCCCCAAACCTAATTTGACTAACCCGTTTTCTTAAAGCCTGGAGCTGTAGAATATCGTGACCTCAGCCTGGGACTCTACGCTGGCGCAGATGCAGTTATCGTCTGTTTCGATGTTACCGAGTGAGCGTCCCATTTATTGCATTTAAACTTCAAACCGTAAATTTTACTAGCTGTTGAAAGCTTATGTTACTAGGTTGCGACAAGCAGGGGTGCTGGGTGAATTTCCGGTTTTTCGTTGTTCAGATGTTTTGCAAGGTTGTATTTTTAAGAAATATTAGATCGAGCCTGGTTACCATATAGCTTTTACATCTTTTTGTTTAGTCTGCTTGTCCGTTTGGCATAGTTCGATGCCTGTAACCAATCGTATTTTGACTGTTTTTCTTCGCAAAGTGTCCTTCATGGTATCTCATTAGATGAAGTAGTGCGCAGAATTTGAATTGGTGATATGCAAAATATCGATTTTCTTGAAATAAACAGACAAATAGTTAAATTCCTGCCCAACTTTGGCCTCCGCCTCTGGTGTGTCGTTGTGTCATTCAAACCCTTCTTAATACGAAGCCTGCAAAGGACTACTTAAAACACAGTAACATTGTCTTCTAAAATAGTAATTAGACTGCGACAGCTCCGCCTTGATGTGACCTTTACTGTGAGTGGCGTGGAAACCAGTGGTGGTCTGAAGCCTCGACGCGCGGCAGGCCCGGGCCCTGCGCGCGCGCGTCTGTCTGCTAGCGTGATGTAGGCGTGAATGCGTACACGTAATGCGAGAGTGAGTCACTAGCTGCTTGATCAACTGCTCGAACAGTAGCAATCTATGGTACCCGTGATTGGCTGTCCCATAGGCATATGGAGGAGTGCAATCACGTGACGGTTTACGGGCTTGGCACCGGTGATGGACGGGCCGGTGCACTGCTGAACTTCTCTGATTGTCTTCCGCAGATTTAGGCGGACAGCTGCAGTTGGTGTCGGTATCCGCTTGAGGGATTCGGTTGATGCCTCCTCTAGATATTTTAAATATGTGATTGATTTGGTGATCGCGAATAAATGTCCGTATCGCAGAATGCCATCTGAATGCCTTTCGATGTCTTCGGCTTTGCGAGTTCAGCAATCATTTTACGTCCCCTCAGGCTCTTGTGTTGTAGGCCTCGTCATCGGAAAATGCGGTTTTATTGGTGTTTGACCTGCTGCTGGTGACGTATTACCTTTGTAGATCATTGCTCTTTTATGGCCCGGTCACGGATTTCTTCGTCATCGTCACCGTGCTGTCGGTGCGTGCGACTGAGGGCTTCCATTGCGGTTGGGCGTATGACCAACTAATTTCCACCATGCCGTCTCAACAGTGGCGTTCGCTTCCAGAACTTACATTTGTTTTTCTTGGTTGAAATTCATGTGATGTAAAACAGTCAATCGAAATTCGAAATAGAGTAT